TGGGCATGTTTTTTATGAGAGTATAACATTATAACATGATATAAAACTCAAAAAAGTTGATTTTACATGATATTGCCCCTTTAAGTAATCTTTATCAGAAAAGCACAAGACATCCTTTAACACTGCCTCAGGTTTTCTATGAGAAGGCACAAGAAACACTTACGCTCCGAGGGACACGCTAGATTTGACCCTTGGCCTCATGATGGCTTGTTGGTAGAACACGTTCTAGAGAAAAAAAAAAGAACACAAATATTTTTGCATTTGAAAAACACTATGTCCAGTATTGCAAAAGTAATTTAAACTATGTACCTATTTTTTTTCTTATAGATGTAAAAATGAACGACTGTGTCAGAGTTGACACATTAAAACATCAAAGTGTTATGACAGATGTTTGAGTTACCATTCTTTAATTATTGTTAACATAAGTAAAGATGAGAACATTTTAAAATGTAAAAGTAYTTTCAGGCAGGCTTACCACACGTCTGTATTGATCAAAGGTGATTTTCTGTGGAGGAGGAAAATTAAAAAGTGTATTTTACTGGTAAGATTAGGCTTTTGAACATATGACTATGAAACCATCATAATACAGAGAAACAGCAGCTCTTCTGCATTTATGATACARCTACAGTCATAGCAAAAAATAAATTCAATTATTAGAAAAAATATAAACACTGTATCTTATTTCACAGAAATAGCAAGTCACACTCAGTTAAAATTCSCTTAACACAGGTCTTTCAACATTTCATAGGTTTTTACCTTTTTTTAATTAAATTGGCTTTAGAGGTGACTTATATGTTTTCTTCTGTCAGGATATAGTTTCATAAGTATGGGCAAGAGAAAGTCTACCAATGTTAGGGTTTCCTGTATGAGGACAAAATTAAATGGTTTTCTTTTTACCAGGTTAAAAAAAATCTAATCTCAAGTGGACAAAATTACAAAACYGATTCCACCAAATCATTGTTGAATTACTAAAATCACAATGGAAAAGCTGTGTGAAAAACTGGTTTCAACCCCTGATCCAGCAGCTTGTGAAATCATTTTCAGCTATAACTTTCAGTAACTTTATCTGATCATTTTAATCTTGTCCTGATACAGACTATGGAGTGAAGAAAGATACAGACTGAGGAAAAGGGGACATTTTTTCAACATGACTGCAACAGCASACAGAAAAGTAACTAACCCCATCAACCGGTCTTCCCTTCAAGATTTGGTGTTACTCAATAGTACAAAGTTTTAGACACAGGTTTCAAAATCAATATTTTCAAAATTGTATTCGTTTAAAAATTAGTATACATTATTGAGTATTGGTGTAATAATTACTGCAAAAATAAACRGCAAGGTGCAGAAATAATGTTCAAAGATGTAATATATGGGGTGCCATTTGTAAAGCGACTTGTGCTAAAAAAATAACAGTTCAATTTTTTCACATTTAGCTTCAATCACTGTTCAAAAAAGTTGTGTAGATTTTCTCATGTCACCTTTTAGCACATTTAAATAGGTAAATGCTAAATGTTAACTGTAAATCTTAAGTGTTAAATTTTAAATACTAAATGTTAAATGTAAATCTTAAATGTTAAATCTAAATGCTAAATATTAAATCTAAATCCTAAATGGTAAAACTAAAAGCTAAATGCTAAATGTTAAATGTAAATCTTAAATGTTAAATCTAAATGCTAAATATTAAATGTAAATCTTAAATGTTAAATCTAAATCCTAAATGTTAAATATAAATCTTAAATGTTAAATCTAAATCTTGAATCTGAATCAAGCTTTTATTTTGGTACTTCCATTTACAGGTATAAAAAAAATCTACATATTAGCTCAATATTTGGTTTCAGCATTTAAGATTTAGATTTAACATTTAAGATTTAGATTTAAATTTAGCATTTAGATTTTACCTTTAGATTTAACTATATAAATGTGCTATCAGGTGACATGAGAAAATAAACAYCATTGAACAGACTTTGAAGCTAAAAGTGAAAAAACTTGAAATGTTATTTTTAAGCACAAGTCGCTTTACAAATGGCACCCTATAGTAGAAAAGATAATTCTACATGCTATAGCACATTACCAGATAACCACAGTTGGGTCTAAAGGTTCTTGTTTTTTTATTATTATTCTTTTGTTTTGTTATTCCTCTGAATGTCATTCAAACATGATGTATCAAGTTCAACATTTTTAATCAWGTAATTTGGTTTCTGACCTAGATGTAGTGGAGATCCTAAAATGTATTTTGTTTTGCATGTTTTGTATTAATTAAACTTTGATTATTTGTTGCTTTTTAAAAAACACAATATAATACTTTTTTTGATTTATGTTGAGATTTTGGACCTTTGAACCCCACTGTGTACAGATACAAACACTCATTTGTCTCATCAGATGAAGATGGCTGCATGAAAGAAGAAGAAAACAAAACAAGAAAGAGAATTAAAAATAAATTTTTTTCCTAATAACAGCTTCTTCATAAATATACAAAACATCAAATGAAGTAATTTTATTCTTAAAACTTAAAACTACAGAAAGCAGCATTCAAGACCACCACAGGGATGAGGGGTAGTACATGTTTACTGACCTGTTACCTCTTCTACATTTGGGTCAACAAGTCGATCCGGGCCACAATCCAAAGCACTCTGGGTGTAGCGCTGGACATGCACAAGACATATRCAAACTAAATACACAGTTTGTAAARCCCCTGCAATAGATWTACACTGGAATGGCTTTCCAAAGCACAGCTATTAACAAGGCAAGASTTTGTGCCACCATCTTTCTCTAGACTAGTCTGCTAATTACTGTGGAACAAGGTGATGAAGGTAAACCTACAGTATACAGAAAATATATAAACTGAAAATTTATCATCAGTATTACACATTTTCCTCAAGAACAGCTATTAGTCTACCAATCTGTTTGAGCTATTTTATAGCTAAATGTGTTAAAATTTTTAGTGTTATATGCTGGTGAAGATTCTCAATCATCAAGGGCTTGATCAATTTAAAAGAAATTGCAAAATAAAACAGCTGTACTGAAGCTGAAGACATTTTGTCGACCAGTCTGTAATACTGCAGATGCTCCAAAGATCCCTTTAGTCTCACACTCCATTCTCCCTCACCTGTGAACAAAACCCCCAAGATACTTGAACTCCTCCATTTGTGGTGTCCTCATCCCGAACCCAAGAGAAAAATCCATCTTTTTCCAACTGAGGACTATGGTCTCAGATTTGGAGGGGCTGATCCTTGTCCCATCTGCTTCACGCATGCCCCCTTAATTTTTTTTACATATTTACTGGAGTCACTTGCACTCAGACATGATCAAATTTTAATTGTTGGGGATTTTAATATTCACACTCACTGTCAGTCTGGACCGATAGGAAAATACTTTTTTGCTCTTRTTAACTCTTTTAATTTTACTTAGTGGGTCCAGGGTTATACCCATGTTAAAGAACATCCCTTAGTTTTACTTTGTCTTATGGTTTGGACATTTGTATCATATAAATCAAAGACTGTGGGATATCAGACAATTTCCCTGTCCTGTTTGATGATGTGGTGTGTGATGTGGAGTCGGACAGACAGACCAGTTTGCACAGTCTAGTACAGCTATCTTTATTGCATTGTCTTCCTTTAATTTCTTTAGCCTTACTCTGACCCTAAACCTAACCTCACATGTACATACCTGACCCTAAACCTAACCTCACAGGTACATACATTTGAGCCAATCTGCACCCAATTCTCTATGATCGATTCTAATCCACCACACTACAGGAATGCAGTCAAATATTTGGGGTGTGTGGCCTAATTCCTCCACAGCTCCCCCTACAATTATTTAAAAAATCAGACCCAAGCCAT